TATGACAAAATTTTGAAATTTCACATGCAAAATCTATATAATGTCCGGATAGTTATCAAACATATCTTTAAAAAAACTTTATATTTTATCTGTTATTTTCAGTAATTAATCTCTGTACGGGTTTGGTAGATTTAACAGATCTTACAAACATCATAAAAATATAGGAAATAAACATAAATTATGCCTCTTTTATTCTAGTGTGAACAGAAATTATAACACAAAAACATAAATCTTAGACAAAATAGCTTAAAGCTCATGACATTATACATTTATATATATTTATTATATTGACCTTTCACCCGTGCCTGGTTAACAATACAGAAGTTACAACAATGTGGCTCACGTGCACTCATGTTACCGTATAAAATAACATAAAGGTGACCTTTGGTCTGTACAAAGTAACTTGTCTTGGCTGTGTTTTAGTCAACTAATATTTTGTAAAATACAGTCACATTTTAATTATTATACATTATATATGTATATAGATTATTCATATTTTCAAATAAGTTCTTAAAGTTATTTTTCCTAAAACATAGAACAGTAAATAAAGAAGTAAAGTAAACAATTATCTCTTCTAGTTATGACCTTTGTACTCAGTTGCTACTTGACATAGGGTGCTAAGACTATTAAAATTTTGCATGTGGAGGATATGAAACAAAATTTTTTTTAGCTTTTATATATACTTATGAATAAACAAGATATCATAAATAACTACATTAATACCATAGAATTCCACTATAATTTATCAAGCTTAATAACTAAGCTGTATTTCAGTCTAAAAAAATATGAAATTTCGAGCAGACTAAAGACACAATCTACCTCATTGAAATCTTGGTTCAAATGAAAGAATTGGCAGAAGAAATGTTAGAAAGGCTGAGAAAACCACTAGGGGGACATTCTGAGCTTCCGAATGGTTATTCATGTCATATATAGAAGTAAGTTTATATAAGAGCATTTTCAAAAATGGAAAGAGGTGGGTGGGGTGCCACTGTGTTTGATTTATTACGTGAGAAATATCTTAGCAAATAGAAGAGATAAGACCTTCTTATTTTATACTCTAGCTTGTCAATATCTTTAATTTGAGTTTCTGATTCATATGAAACTCTAGACTTAGTATTTTGACTTCACAAACATCTAATTTGAACCAGTGCTGCATTCAACATACCATGTGACACACAAAATTCGATGTTTATCTGCGGTTTTTTTTTACATTTAATTTTAAATTAACAAATAGAGTAATGTATAGTTCTAAAATTTGAATTATTATCTACAGTTTGATACTAAACTTATTGACATAAATTCATGTAATAGTAGTTCAATAAAAGTTTGAATGAGAGTCATGGCCCTTCACCTGTGACCCATCTCAAAAGGGTTAATACAAAAATTTAAAAGTAAGCATCTAGTAATCATAGCAAAACAGCATTAAAATATTGAGTGTTGGACAATGGAAAAAGTAACTGAAACCCAAAAGTTCAAGTTTTCAGCATTGCAGTTTTTATTAGGAGTAAAATACTCAATATGTAAAAATGTATTTGGATCACTAATACATTTTTATGCAGAACAGTTTAGAACTAAAAATATATCCTAACCCTAAATTGCTAATCAAACGTTACATATAATCCACCTATTTTAGGCTTCAAGACAAATTCTCTTAACAATGGGATCCCACTTTAATCAATGCTATGCATCATCTTCATAGAAGTGCTTAGAAACAACACCCTAACCACAAATAACTTAAAACACACTTTGTGGAAGAGATACATGGATGTTACATTCACTATTTGGTCATATCAGCATAATGCCATAACTTTCCAAATGATCTAAATCAAAAATATTAAAGATAATCAATAGTGACAGCATTTCAGTTACTTGGGAAGGTGGAATAATAATAAAAAAAGTAATAATATGAAATACTAATTTCAATTAGCAGGTTATTTTCATTGTATTAATCAAGTTAAATCCACAGCTTTAACCAAGACTTTAATACTATCACTAAAAGCAAAAGTTCTAACACCTCATTAATCTATTTACTGAACTTCATTTATATAAATAAACAACTCTCTGCTTTCTTCCATCTGGCCATATTTGATCCAATCTAACTTATCCCCCATACCTATAGAGATTATTCTTTTAACAAGCACTTCATGAGGCAACTTGTCAAATTCTATCCAAAAAATCCAAATATACTGAATCCACACCCTGATCCTCATCTATGTAGCAACCACTTTGGAAAATGTCAAAAGATTATCAAGGCAAGTTCTTTTCTTTTGTGAAACCATGTTGACTA